TGAAACACGATTGTAATTTCAAAATTATCACTGCCACATTGTTCTGTATGAGTTTTTCTGTATCGTTTTCCATTTTTTTCCATTGACATTCAAATGATCTTTAAAGTGGACATCAGTTGCCAAAGCATTACACCTATGTGCTATTTTACTTTCATAATCACATTTAAACTGAACCCTTTGTTCTGTTCGTCTCAGTTACAGCCGAGGATACAAATTGAAGCAGTGTACAACACTCTTTCTAACCAAGCAAGTTTTTAATGTCCCTGAAATTTATTTCAACTACGAGACGTCTATTGTATTACATTTGTAATTTTTAGATAAGAAATATTAATTATGTGAAAAGGGTTGCAGAAACTCTGTTTGTTTCTGTAATTCCCTTCATAGGATTCATGTTGTGCATCTGATGATGACATTATTATCATATTGTCATTTTTATTTGAATTTGCAATTTTTTTTAATGAGACCTCAAAGTTGCATAAACCAATGGCAATACAATTACTTTTGAGATTGTGTTAAGAATATATTTTTTGTATTCGGCATATGAGAGCTCAATATTCATCTGATATTGTCTTATTCATAGTCCGAATGACGTCACTGCAGCAGAAGGAAAACTGTTTTTACTTAGGTATCATGAGATAAAAACAGAAAAAAAACAAGTAATGAATAAAAAGACATTATCAGATGATATTGAGTCCTCATATTGCCGAATGACAAAAATATATTTTAACACATCTCAAAGTAATGTTTGCCATTGTTTATCAATCGTTTGAGGTTTCTCATTAAAAAAAAATTGAAACTTCAAAATAAACATGACAATATGATAATAATGGATCACTTGAATGCACAAAAATGAATCCTATGAGGAATACGAACAAACAGATGTTTCTTGCCAACCCCTTTTATTCTTATCTAAAAATTACAAAGTAAATACAATTAGAACGTCCGTAGTTTTGAATATAAATTCATAGGAACATTAACACTTGCTTGGTTGAAAAAAGAGTGCTTGTACACTGCTTATCCAATTGTATCTCTGGCTGGTAACAATTCTGAGAAAACAGAACAGAAAAAGTAAGTTCAGTTAATGTAAAAGATATATGAAAGTAATAATAAGCACAATAATAGTGATTCTAGCGTGCAACTTTGTTGAGAGAGATGTTAACAAAAACTCCTAAAAAACACAAATCCCTTACATCCCTACTCACCTGTAATGTCTTAGTTTGGAAAAGAAAAACAAAAAAACAAAAAAAAAATAAAAAAATAAAAAATATATGATCGGGTTTCCAATCATTTTGGAGGGGGTCATGGAGTCCCTAACTTTGGGGTCCAAGCATGTTTCAATGTGAAATGTTATTGAATTGAAATCTATTGAACTCCAAATAAAGGTACCTTAAAATGAGCTTGAAAAAAATTCAAAAAAGACAAAGAATGTGTAGATTTAAACATTCCCAACAATCATTTCTTGTTAGAGATCCAAACCAATACATTCGAAGTATTGTCTACTATGATTTTGAGGGGGGGGGGGGGCCTGTTGCGGGGGGGGCCCCAACAGTAATTTCAACTCCAAAAGCGATCTCTATTAATCAGTTACGGAGACAAGGACCGGGCACCTGCCTCCCTCAACTTTTAAAAAATTTACACTTTTGGCCTAAGTTTAAAAAAAAAAAAAATTTCAATTTTAAATAACTAAAAAGAAAACTTAAGTGCACAAATGAGGTGGTGTGGACTATTTCGGTTCATTGAGGAAGGTGAACTGAAAATTTGCCTGTCTGGCAACCTCAACACCAACTTTATTACAAGAATACAAATTTTTTAGTTAGATGTTACTGTAGAAAAATGCAAGCTACGTGACCGCGAAAAACAACTTACATAATCACAAGAAGTTTCCTTAAATAAAATAAAAATGATTTTAGAAAAAAATCGTGGAAAATATATAAATGGAAATTATTAATAATGAAAGCATCCGAAGAAGACCAATCAACGTGTGAGGTGATTCCGGGTTAGCCTTGAAATTTTGTTCAAAGGGAAAACACTTCCTGGTAAAATGCTGGCAGTTGGATGGGAGTAACTTACCCTAAAGAAACTGTTACATCATATATTTGGAAATGTTTCGAATCTTTCCGTAAGCTCTCAGAAAAATTTTAAGGTTAATACACTTTTCACCCCAATATTTGATCAATAAATTTTACTTTAATGCACATAATTTTATTTTGAACAATTATAGTTACTACACTTTAAGTTAGATTCAATTTAATCATTTCGCAAAAAAATTTTTTGTCTACGTCTACGATCTTCAAAAAAAATTGGAAAGACATAATACAAAATTTGTTAATTTTAAACTTCCAATTTAACGGTAATAAAGAACCAAAAATTGGAAACCTTAAAAAATTGACAAGTGAGTCCTCATATCAATTCACTTTATAGTATTTGTATGGCAAATTACACAGATAGTCCCTGATTTTAGTCATGTTATATCAATATTTGCTTATATAAATCACATAATTTCAAATTAGGCTGCTTTGACATTAAATTTATTATTTTTGTCTGAATTTTAGTCAATTTCTACAGATTGCGTTAGCACACTTTTTTTAATGAGAAAAAAATATGCTAGAGATAGCGACAGATTCTATGTCATGCTTTTTAAAGACAATCATAAACTTATTCAACTCAAAGTGAATTAATTTTCAACTAATTTAGTAATAATTTTCATCAAAAATACTAATAGCGGCTAGATATTGAATCAGATTGATGGCAAAATCGAAAATTTAAGGATTAAAATTGAGCTAAATGAAAATGTAGGGATCAAAACAACACAAAAGGCAAATGTAAAGACTATCGGTGTAATTTGCCTTAATTTTAAGCCTACCAATTTTATATAGAATGACCCAAATTAAAACTAACTTAAAATATAATAACCAGAATATTCAGATTAAAACTAAAGCGACTAAATGAAATTTAAAATTGAGTAAAGTGTAATTAATCAACACTTTTTAAAATCTTCAGAAACATTCTGAAAATGATTAAAAAGAACATTATACTATATTTTTCCAAATCTTTTTTTTTTTTCATACCTTTGAAGCTTTATTTTTTAAATTTTTTTATTACCTAATCATTAGTTAGTATGGGTAAAATTACACTTGCCCGCACTCATGTTTTTTTACCATTAAATTTTCACATAATGTCAATCAAATGATAATATATTATCCTTAGAAATTATACAAAACAGGGGCGGAGGGAAGGAGCGCTCAGTGTGGGTCACGTGTGCCTCCCTGAGTTTTGGATTTTTTTTTTTTAGCAAACATAAAGAAAATATTTATATTAAAAAATAATTATAAAAATATTATTTAGAGTGAAATTTCAATGGTATTTTAAAATTATAAGAACAATAATTGATTGTTATAATTGAAAATAAAGGAGACTACGATATTATTATCTATAAAATTTTAATATAATTGGTTGATCGCATACATTATTGATATGCAACATAATTAATTTCAATAAAAATATATAAATTTATTGAATTGTTAGTTACATTTTAATATGCAGGTTCACCCTCCATGTGTTTCTTTCATTATTGAGTGGTAATATCACATGTCAATGATTGGTGGTATGAACTATTATATTGAATTTTACGCATGTTTTGTATAAAAAAATTATTTTGCCCATATATAAATTATTTTTAAAACTTTATATCCGATGATTTTTTTTTAATTATTGTTCATGATACACCACACAAAAAAATGACTTTTGCGACGGTAAAATACCGTCGCTAATACTCCTAAGTGCCGTTGCTAATACTTTTTTGCGACGCAAAAATGACCTTTTGCGACGGCAAGAGGAGGGTCGCAACTGCAGGGGTTGCAAAAAGAGTTTTTGCGACGGTAAGTGCCGCGCTTAAGTTTTGCGACGGCATTTTTTACCTTTTTTGCGACGGCCACCGTAGCATGCAGTCGCTAATAACGTTTGAAAAAATGTCTTAACTTTTTTTGCGACGGCCCTATTTTTACCCGTCGCTAAAAAAGTTATTTGAGACGGCAAAGAAATTGACCGTCGCTAAAGTCTTTTTTTCTAAAAAAAAACAACTGTTTTTGCGACGGGTGTGTGCCGTCGCAAAAAAGTATAAAAAATATTGAAATTTTCTATTGCGACAGTGTAATGCCGTTCTGCAAAAAATATTAAAAAATAATAAAATTTTATTTTAAAAATAATAAAATTTCTATTTTTTGCGACAGTTATAAATGTCTGTCTCCGTACTGTTTGGTTTACTGTATAGACTGTCAGCTACTAACTGTACTGTTATCAAGTAATGTCGTCGCAAAAAGTAAACCCTGTAACAAAATTAATAAAAATATTAAAAAAATTTATTTTTTTCCGACGGTGGTGCCGTCTCTCTTTCTAAGAGCTGATTATTTACATTCCATTCACAAAAACATCATAACAGAAAACAAAAATAAAAATTGATCAAACCATCAAATTCAATATTTTACAAAGAATAATTAAACTGTACATGTTCATAAAAGCATATTTAAATTATAAAATTCACCCAAATCCTAAAAAAAATAAAATAATAAAATAAAATCTAAAATTCACCAATCAGCACATTGGATATTTAAATGCTCTTACAAAAAATAAAAAAATAAAAAATTTCCAACAAGATCTCAATTTTGAGCCTATTTCAAAAATCAAGCTGCAAATTCCTTACTTCTAGAATCAGATCTTCCCCTCGTCAAAATTTATCCTTTTGACCTACAAATAAATAGATAACAGTTGCAAATTATAATCTTTTGGAGAAACCAACTATTTAAACACCAGTAATGAAGACAATGAAAACTGTGGAAAGAACACTTACGTTGTCATCAGGAACAACTGCATATCTCTCAGAGTAAACTTTAATCGGGTCTACTGGTTTTTTGTGACATCACTATCTCCTGAACATCACAAAGAACAAACCAAAGTTAACACCAATATTTCACTATCACATCATCATCAATTATTATCATTCAATTATAGATTAAGGTATACTTAGTTTCATGTATCATTCAGCTCCAAGGCACTAAACTAACAATGTGATCTCATCAAATATATGCTATATGTTGTAAATTCATGCATGAGCAACGATTATATAAATTTTGCACATGAAAGGAAAAATAATAATACAATCACCTAGGTTTGCCTAGGGTCTTGGGTGCTCTACTGAATTTTCTACAATATCCCCCACCAACATTGGGGCTTTGCACTCCAGCAAAATCCGTAGGTAAGGCTACACATACACCTAGACCCGATCCATACCACAGAGCATCATTGACGATCCTTGCATAAAGAAAGATTTAATACCTTGCACATTGCCTATTAGTCTGTTGGTGTAGAGAGATAGAGCACATTGGTGGATCTTCATATAATAAGAAGGCAAAGACTGATTATAACATGGGAAAAATCAGCTCATCTAAGAACCTAAACTTAAAACTTCCTTACCTTCAATAAATCTCATGGCACAACCAGTAAATGATGTATATGCACGTATTTATAGGTAACAAAACTTAGTGATTCAAAATTTTCAAACTACCCTAAAAATTATGAAATATCAAAGGTAACTGAAACAAAAGTATCCTTTTCATGAATAACACCACTAAAAAATTTGACAATAGAAGAAAAATAAAAGCCAATGCTACAAGCATCCAACACTTGAAGGAACAGTTTAACCCTCTCAAATGTCCCTCTATTCCATTCTTTCCAAATAAACTAAAAATTACAGTACAATAATCCTCCACACCATCCACCAACCTTGCTCCAACCTTAAGGATATCAACCACAAAGAATATAGGCAATTTAGTTTTTTGCATAACCTAGCAAACTCAAACCAATTGACAAAAATACAATAAGTTAATAGTCTTAGATATTTAAGTGATCAATGCATACAGTAATGCGATGCATCATACCAAGTAGGAATGGGCAATAACAAAATATAAGATGTGGAGAAAGAACTTTTCATATGACTTCATAAATATGTCAACAACCACCAAAATATCTGTGAAGTTTTAGATTGAAGCACATAAACCTCCAAACAGAGACACCTCCCGAGTAGAATTCTTGGCTTTTGGACTGCTCCTTTTGGGATTAAGGTTAGCAGGCTTCATCTCAACAGCAGAATAATTATTTGTAAGTCCATCTGATGAGTGAACTTTTGGCTCAATTCTCTCTAGCCTGGCATTAATATCTCTTAATTGCAGTTTAATACCATATTAATCAATACAATTGAGTGATAATATCAACTAAATAAGGCTCAAATTTTATCCTACACTAAAACATCATCATCTAAAATTGAAACATATATAAACATAAAACCTCAATCTCAGGAGTTCTTGACCTTGAAAGTATTGGGGGAAGGAGAGAGCAGATTCAAATAGCCTTGCATACAGATTATACTCACCAGTGATGTGGGAAGATGATGACGCTGAAGTTCATCACGAAACTGAGGCCCAGCCTGAGTATACATCTCCTGAGAAGGGAACAAAAATCAGATAAATTCCCTAACAAAACAAACTTGAACAAAAATCTGATATATATATATATATAAAACAACCATCGGGCCGAGAGAGAGAGAGAGACAGATTGAGAGAGAGAGAGTTTACCTGTGAGTAGATCGGCGGTGCGATGATCGGTGCGAATCGATGAGATGAGCAACGAGAGAGTAAGAGAGTGATCGGTGCAGAGATGAACGAGATCGGTGCAGAGATAAACGAGAGGGTGAGAGAGAGAGAGAGAGAGGCGACTGAGAGAGTGATGTGAGGGAGACGATTAGATTTAGGGTTTTTTTTGGTTCTAAAGAGATTGGGGATTTTGGGGCGCGGGAATGGAAAAAATTGGGGGAATCGAGCGGGCAGGATTGGGAAAAAAATATATATTTAAATAATAATTTTCATCATAAATGAATATTTAATGAATGAAAAATTATTATTATTATTTTTTATTTGGTAGAAGTAAGGATAATATTTTAATGAAAAATATTTTCTATTAAGAGTGATGAATGAGAGAGAGAGACGGAGAGAGAGAGAGAGACAAACAGACAAAGAGAGAAAGAGATAGAGAGAGAGAAAGAGACAGAAAAAGAGAGAGACAGAAAAAAGAGAGAGAAACAAGAGATGAGCGAACAAAAAGAGAGAGAGTTTGGTGCCTGAAAACCTACATATATATATGAGCAGTGAGCTAAAGCCCAGTGAATAACACAATATGTAAAGGGGTTTAGAATGAATGTCCTTACAGTAATGAAAACAGTTCAATTCAAATAGTATTTCAGTTGTTCAGTACAGTAAACAGTCATATGTGGTACATCCATTAGCATAACAGTAACAGTAGGTCTTAAAAGACCCAACAGTAATGATGGCCATCAGTCAGTAAACAGTAGTGGCTCCACAAGGGAACCGACAGAGATCTTTGTAACAGTAACAGTAACAGTAAACCGTAGGTACTAAGGATGCCACAGTACAGTTCAGAAATAAAGGACATACATTCATTCAGTAATACCAGTTCAGTAAACAGTTCAGTTCAGTATTCAAAAGATATCAGTTGAACATATCTTTACACAATTGTTACTCACAGAGTTTGGGCTACAGTAGGCTAGAGCGTGTCTCCCCAGTCGCCAACCCTACACAGTTAACAGATTGAACACACTAAGCTACGCAGTTGGGAAAGTAACAACTTAAACCCTAATTTGCCTCGGTGTGTTCTACATATATATCCTCGACAAGATGCCTTAGACTAGGCCTAAGAATGCCTAGAATGGAATGAGGATGCAAAGATGCGATCAGAAAACAGTTTCAGAATTTTCAGGAAAACAGAGTCCCGCTCGAGCGCAGGTTTCCCCGCTCGAGCGGACATGCAACAAAGGTACACGCTCGAGCGTAAACTTTCCCGCTCGAGCGTACTGTGAAAGTACTGGATGGGTGAAATCTCCGCTCGACGCCCCGCTCGAGCTTGAGACATGACTCTGCTCGAGCGTCCAATCCTTCGCTCGAGCGTACTGTAAAACAGTGCAGAGAGATGCTGGATGCTCGGATTCTCCGCTCGAGCGCCAACTTAACCGCTCGAGCGGAAGTGCAAAATCTGGGAAACCCAGATTGCACCTCCAAGCTCAAACTCAAGCTAAAATGCATCAAAACCGATCCTCTTGGGCTCATTTTCTGGAAAACATTTATAAACACATAGGAGAACATGTTTTAAAGCTCAATTTGAGAAATCAAAGCCCAAGGGTGTTTAATTCGAACTCAATTTCAAACCATTTTCAAGAACAATCCTCAAACATAACATGCATGAGTTTTAAACCAAATTGAAGCTCCAAAGCTTGCTCAAATGAGCTCATTTCTTCAAAACCAGATGAAAACATGGTCTATAACAACAATATGAGCATGCATGTACCAATGTCCATGTAATCAACCTCAAAATGCAACAATACTAACATGCATGCAAGAAATGAGCTTCAATCCACCATTAATGAACCAAATCATGGCTTAGCTCTACAAATGAGGCATGAATTGTGCAAGAATGAACTCAAGAACAACAACAAGAAGATGAATGTCCTACCTTAGTCTTGTATTCAAGGTCTAGGAGCTCAAAGTAGCAATCACACTTCAATTCTCAAACAATTCCAAGCAATTCAAGATGAAAACCAACTCCTCAAGTCTCTCTCTCTCTAAGGTCGGTTGAGGCAAGAAGAGGAGAAGAAATGTTTGGTTTGATCACATACGTGGAGTGTAAAGGGCTCAAAAGGTGTGATGTGGTGGCCACTAAGTGGCGGAACGGTAATTAAGTCCAACTCTTCAATTAGCTTATTTAATCTAATTTAATCATACCTAATTAATTTTCAGATAATTGTACTATAAAATCACATAAATTATGAGGGTCATTAACCATCAATCAGTTTCTAATTCGGCCGCCGATAAGGCCTTCAATTAGCAGTTTAAACATATGACATGAACAGATAATCAGACAATCAAACAGATAGAATGCAATTAACTAACATATACTCAGTCAATTCAGTTTCCAATTTCAGTCAGTCAGTTCAGTACTTTAATCAGTTCAATTATCAGTCAGTTATCAGTCATTATCAGTTCCGTTTAGCAGTAATCGGTGATTATCGGTAATCAATTAGTCCCTAATCAGTAAACAGTAGGAGGGTTGTTACAGAATCGATGAGATGAGCAACGAGAGAGTAAGAGAGTGATCGGTGCAGAGATGAATGAGATCGGTGCAGAGATAAACGAGAGGGTGAGAGAGAGAGAGAGAGAGAGGCGACTGAAAGAGTAATGTGAGGGAGACGATTAGATTTAGGGTTTTTTTTGGTTCTAAAGAGATTGGGGATTTTGGGGCGTGGGAATGGAAAAAATTGGGGGAACCGAGCGGGCAGGAGGAAAAAAAAAAATCATTATAAATAAATATTTAAATAATAAAAATAAATAAATAATAATTTTTATTTTCTTTCCGTTATTAAGGTTGATTTGTTTCATATATATTTTAATGAAAAATATTTTCACTAAAATAAAAGTTAATTTTCTGTAGTCAATGAAAAATATTTTTCTGCGGTCTATTTTTTTCTATTACTAAAAATCATGAACTAATTTTTCGTAGTAGAGGAAAAGGAGCGGCAGCAGTAGTGAAGGTGGTGTATAAGAGATGATGGTGGTGGTGGCGGTGATGGTGATGACGAAACAGATTAGTGGTGAAGTTGTGGTAGTGGTAGTGTAAATGGAGTGGCAGGGGTGAAAGAGAGGTAATGGTAGTAGTAGTGGTAGTGGTGGTAGTGGAGTGGTGGCGATAGTAGTAGTAATGGTAGTCGTAGAGGTGAAGTGGCTACAGTAGAAGTAATGGTGGTGGTGGAATGGTGTTTGCAGTAATGGTAAAGGTGATAGAGGAGATGGGTGGTGAGAGAGATAAATGAGTGAGAGACAGATAGAGAAGAGAGAGAAAGACAGAGTGATGAGCGAGAAAGAGATAAAGAGAGAAAGAGATATAGAGAGAGATAGAGAGGCAGAGAGAGAAATCGATAGAGAGAGATATATAGAAAAATAGAGATAAACAAGAGATGAGAGAGACATATAGAAAGAGAGCGAAAAGAGATGGACGATAGAGAGAATAGAAAAATAGAGAGATAGAGAGAAAAGAGATGAGCGAGAGAGACAGAGAGAGAAAAGAGATGAGAGAGATAGAGAGAAGAGAGATGAGCGAGAGACAAAGAGAGAAAGAGAATGAGACAGAGACAAAGACTGACAGATAGAGAAGAGTGATAAGTGAGAGAGAAAAGAGAGGTAATATTTTGTGGTAGAGGAGAGGAAGGCGAACATAGTGAGGGATAAATAGATAAATAGACAAATAGACAGATAGAGAGAGAGAAAAGAGTGATGAGTGAGAGAGAAACAAGGAGAGAGAGAGATAGACAGAAAAAGAGATAGAGAATTATGTTTAGAAACAAATAGTCAAGAAATGGCACAATCTTTCTATAACGGAAATGAAGCAACTTGGAAAAGCATAAACTAATTTTTTGTAGTAGAGGAAAAGGAGCGGCAGCAGTAGTGAAAGTAGTGGATAAGAGATGATGGTGGTGGCGGCGATGATGGTGATGGCGAAACAGATTAGTAGTGAAGTTGTGGTAGTGGTAGTGTAAATGGAGTGACAGGGGTGAAAGAGAGGTAATGGTAGTAGTAGTGGTAGTGGTGGTAGTGGAGTGGTGGCGAAACAGACAAACAGATAGATAGACAAACAGATAGATAGACAAACAGACAGAGAAATAAGAGTGATGAGTGAAAGAGAGAAAGAGAATAGTGGTGGTAGTTGAATGGCATTTGCAGTAGTGGTAAATGTGGTAGAGAAGATGGGTAGTGAGAGAGAAAGATGAGTGAGAGACGAATAGAGAAAAGAGATAGAGAGACAGAGTGATGAGCGAGAAAGAGACAAAGTGGTCGCTAAAAGTGCATTTTCTTGTAGTGGATCGATAAATCGATAGGGAGCTCAATAAATAAAGAAGATAGATAATTCAAAACTCTGTTCAAAACTTAATTCAAATCATTTTTTTAAATATTTTAAATATTTAAATATTTTAAAAACATTTTAATTTTGTGAGAGACAGATAAAGAAGAGAGATAGAGAGAGAGAGAGAGACACAGAGATAGAGTGATGAGCGAAAGAGAGATAGACAAAGTGGTTGCCAAAAGTGTATTTTCTTATAGTGGATCGATAAATCGAGAAGGAGCTCGATAAATAGAGAAGATAGGAGTAAGAGAGTGAGCAAGTTGAACATAGTGAGGGAGAAATAGACAAATAGACAAGTAGACACAGAGAGAGAAAAGAGTGATGAGTGAGAGAGAGACAGGGAGAGAGAGATAGACAGAAAAAGAGATAGAGAAAGAAAGAAAGAGAGAGATGGAAAGATAGAAAAAGAGAGAGAAACAAGAGATGAGCGAGAGATAGACAAAAAAAAGAGAGAAATAGAGCGAAAAGAGATGAGCGAGAGAGAGACACAGAAAAAGAGAGAGACAGAAGAAGAAGAGAAAT